GGTTCGCATGCGCCCGACGCCCATGTTTGCACCCCTTACACGGTTCGTGGCCCCATAGGGAGCTGCACTGGAGGCCCCAGTGGCAGGGTTCGCATGCGCCCGACGACCAGTTTGGCACACCATTCACACGAATCGTGGCCCCATAGGGAGCTCCACCGAAGGCTCCAGTGGCAGGGTTCGCATGCGCCCGACGCCCATTTGGGCACACCCGTCACACGTTTCGTGGCCGCATAGGGAGCTGCACCGCAGGCCCCAGCGGCAGGGTTCGCATGCGCCCGACGACCACTTTTGCACACCCGTCATACGTTTCGTGGCCCCATAGGGAGCTCCACCGACAGCGGTACCCACAACGCGGTGTTCACAACTGCATAGGGTTGGGCCTTTCGCCAAGATTTTGTTCTTGGCAAGGGTTTTCGACCATGGATGATTTTGGATGAACTGGTGTGCGTGCGTAGTATGTTTTGACAGGGATGGGGGAGGGGGGTCGTTAAGGGGTATCCATGGGATGATCATATTTTTATATATAAATGAGCGATGGGCCAGGGTCGTATGTCCCAGGGGGAACCGATTAAGCTCGTGGTGGGTGGGTGGGTGGATGGGGGGAGTGGTCGAGTCAAATTTCTCCTGAGAAAATGACAATTTATGTTGTGCATTCTATGTGTTGCAAGTTGTGTGGTGCGACTAATTGTGATTAGCTTGGAGTTGTCAACTCCACTGCTCGCGCAATCATCCAACCCGCCCGCCCGCAACTTGGTTTGCCAAACTCATGCGGTGGCGATTGCGGTGACTGCTTGTCGCTGGCTGGTGCGTCGCTGTGGCCGCGTTGGCGCGCGCAATCGCGCGCAGAACGGCCAGGTAAGTTGGTGCGACCGGCGCGGCCGCGGTGGCGCTGACTAGGGAACTCCACCGAAGGCCCCAGTGGCAGCGGCTGCATTCAGTTCCACCTTCCAGTTTGGTACGTCCTCCACACGTTTCGTGGGCCCAGGAGGCCCACCGAAGGCCCCAGTGGCAGCGTCCGCATGCAGTTACACCTTCCATGTCGGCACTCCTCCCAAGCTTCGTGGCCCAATAGGGAGGTCCACCTAAGGCCCCAGTGGCAGCGCCCCCATGCAGTTCCATCCCCATTTCGGTGCACCCTCACGCGTTTCGTGGTCCCATAGGGAGCTTCACGTTTCGTGGCCACATAGGGAGCCCCACCGAAGGCCCCAGTGGCAGCGCCCGCACGCAGTTCCACCCTCCATTTCGGTGCACCGCTCACACGGTTCGTGGCCCCATTAGGCGGTCCACCGAAAGTCCCAGTGGCAGCGTCTGCATGAAATTCCACTTTGCATGTCGGTATGCCCCTCACACGTTTCGTGAGCCCATATGGATCCCCACCGAAGGCCCCAGTGACAGAGCCCGCACGGGGTTCCACATAAATTCAGCGACCCCCTCACACGTTCCGTGGCAGGGGAGCTCCACTTAAGGCCCCAGTGGCAGCGCCCGCATGGCGGCCCCGCCACACCCTTCACGCGCTTCGTGGCCCCATAAGGAGATCCACCCACGGAGATACTCACAACGACCATGCTCGCAACTGCATACGGTTGGGTCCTTCGCCAGGCTAAGATTTGGCGGATTTCTGCACGCGCGCGACGACGTGCGTGTATGGGTGTTGTCTAGTTCCCAACCATCCTGTGTTGGGTCCTCGTTTTGAAGAGAGCGCCCCGCTTTCCTCTCCTCTCCTCCTCCCCTCCCTCATCCCGCTCGTGGCCCCATTCGGAGCGTCACCTAGTGCCCCAGTGGCAGCGCCCGCATGCGGTTCCACCCCCATTTCGGCACGCTCCTCATATGTTTCGTGGCCGATTAGGGAGCTCCACCGAGGACCCCAGTAGCAGCGCCCGCATGCAGTTCCACCCCCATGTCGGTGCACCCCCCGAACTTTTCGTGGTCCCATAGGGAGCTCCAACGAAGGCCCCAGTGTCACCGCCCAGATGCGGTTCCACCGCAATGTCGGCTCACCCCTGACACGTTTCGTGGCCTAATGGGGAGCTCCACCGAAGGCTCCACTGGCAGCGCCCGCATGCGGTTCCATTCTCCATGTCGGTGCACCCCTCACACGTTTCATGGCCCCGTAGGGAGCTCTACCGAAGGCCCCAGTGGCAGCGCCCGCATGCGGATCCACCTTCCATCTCGGTGCATCCCTCACACGTTTTATGGCCTCCTAGGGAGCTCCACCGAAGGCCACAGTGGCAACGCTTGCATGCAGTTCCACCCCAATGTCGGCACACCTCTGAAACGTTTCGTGGCCTGATGGGGAGCTCCACCGAAGGCCCCACTGGCAGGGCCCGCATGCGGTTCCATTTTGCACGTCGGTGCACCTCTCACACGTTTCGTGGGCTTATCGGGAGCTCCACCTAAGGCCCCAGTGGCAGCACCCGCATGCGGTTCCACCCTCCATGTCGGCGACCACCCCACACGTTTCGTTGCCCCATCGGGAGCTCCACCGAAGTCCCCAGTGGCACCGCCCGCATGCGTCACCCCCGCCCAGTACAGCGTTTCGTGGCCCCAAGGGGAGCTCCAGCTCAGGATCCAGTGGCAACGCCCGCATGCGGTTCCACACCGATTTGGGCGCACCCCTCACACGCTTAATGACCCCATAGGGAGCTCCACCGAAGGCCCCAGAGGCAACGCGCACATGGGGTTCCACCTTCCATGTCGGCGACCCGCTCGCACGTTGCGTGGCCCCATAGGGCTATGCCATAGGGAGCTGCACCTAAGGCTCCAGTGGCATCGCCCGCGAGCGGTCCCGCCCGCCATGTCGGCACGCATCTCACACGCGGACTTCACAACAGTTTACAGTCGGAAGCAGAAAGCAGGACGGTAACATTGGAGACTTGAGACTGCAATTGTTGCAGGGAGCAGCACTATCATCCTACAGCCTGGTGGCCCCACAAGGGGGCCGGCGGATTGAATCGCTTCGCTCATTCAGCCAGCCTATTTCGCACCACGTTGGTTGCCTGATGGTGTGCTCGTACCCCTGGGGAACGGTGGGGCAGGCAGGACTGACCTCGAGGAGATCTTTGGAGATGTGGCTCGTACCTGTCGAAGAGAGTCGATAGATTGCCCCAGAGGGCGCCCAGATGGCTCAAGAGAGTTCCAGCAGAGTTTCGAGACGTACCTGGGTTGTGGGTCAGAGTCCTCATGGACGCTTCTCGGGGTCTCTTCGGCGGGCTCTCGGGAGCCTCTGGGGAGCAGTTTTGAGGTCTCTGGGGAACCTGTTGGGGGCTTCTTGGGGTGTTCTTGGCGCTTCCTGGGGGCCTGTTGGGGGTCTTGGGGGCCTCTTTCGTGGCCTCTTGGGGCCTCTTGGGGGCTTTTGGGGGCCTCTGGGGCTTCCTGGGCGCCTCTTGGGGCCGAGAGTTCGACATGTCTGTTCGGGTTCCCCCTCTGGGCCCCCTCTTGGGGTCATCCTGGGGCCGTCTTGGAGGCCTCTTGGGCCGTCTTAGGGCCATCTTGGACCATTTTGGGGCCCCGTTGGAGGCTTTTCGTGCTTCTGGAGCGATCTTGGGGCCTTTCGGGTCGGCAGCTCGAAAAGGCGGTACCGCCAAACTCGCTCGCAAACCCAAGCAAAATCAATGTTATTTGCGTTTGCGGGGCCTCTCGAAGTCCCACCAAGTTCAAGCATCCTTCTTCAGGCCATGAGTAATCCGCATCGGCTGGCTCTTTCATGCCTTGGTCGCGGTGGGGCCCGGGGTGGGTTCGCTCAGCTGATTCTGGGCACCCGCAGGCCTCCTGCATTTCTATTTTGACACCACCTTAGGCCGGAGCTCCCAACTCTACCCTGCGTGCAGCAGTCAGGGGCAACGTTAGGGGTGGATAGGCTCAGGGGGGACGCATCGACCCCCAATCGCCTATTCCTCGCCGATAGGGGCCTAACAGCCCACCCCGCTCAGGAACTGGCGCCGCTCGACGCGGCGTGCGGCGGATTCGTGCCGTTTCGACGCGGTGGTGGCCCCAGCGCGAGCGTTCACGGTTGAACGCCGTCAGTGCTGCGGAAATTGGCCGATATCGAAGGATTTGCGCTACTTGAAGGCCGCGATCGCTCGAGGTTGATCGATCCACGCGGTGTCAGGAACCGGCGCTAAAGTCGTCGCGACGCGAACCCGCCACAGCTGCCGGAGAACACCCCCGAGGTTCGAAAGCTCCCAAGAGCCCCCCTCCCGCAGACTTTCGAAAGCCTCCGAAACCCTCCAGGGGCCCTTTGGTCTTTTCAGGACGCCAGGGCGCCGCCCATACCCGCGCGCGGTCCTGAGAGATCGCCAGATTTGAGATTGCCCAAGGCCGCCCCCAGAGAGCCCCAAGAAGGCCTTAGGCCCCGACCATGCGGATTCTGCTCCAGCCCACACAAGCCTCACGGCGCCCCAATGGTCTGATGATGAACCCCAACGAGGCCCAAGTCCAAACATCCGGCGTCAGGTTTTCGTTCGTCACATGCCGCCCTGGACTTCTCGAGCCCATCCCGGAGACCGGTGTTCCATCCCTGGGTTGTTTTTCGATGGCCCCGTAACCCCAAGCAGGCTTTCATGGGCCAAACGGCGTAGATATTTTCCTGACCTCAGCGGTCTGGGAGGGCTCCAGCGGTCTCCAGAGGCCCCTGGAAGCTTCCAGAGGTGCAACGTGCCCCAGAGGGGCCGACAACGTCCAAAACCTCGACCTCCTCCTCCGCCTCCTCCCTCCTCCTCCCTCTCTCCTCCCTTCTCCTCCCTTCTCCTCCCTCCTCCCTCCTCTCTCGTCCTCCTGCCCTCCTCCCTCCTCCGCCCTCCTCCTCTCTTCTCTCTCCTCTGTCCTCCCTCCTCCGCCTTCCTCCTTCCTGCTTGCCTCCATCATCCTCTTTTTTCTTTTCTCTTTAAAAGTTAGACCAACCTGAGCCAGAAAGCCTTCCTCCTCCTCCTCCTCCTCCTCCTCCTCCTCCTCGTCCTGCTCCTCCTCCTGCCTCGAGGGGCGGCCCCGATGGGGCGGCCCAGCAACCGCGGCCCCGGCGCACCATCCTGGACAAGAATTTCCGGCGCAGGGGGCTCAAGGTGCGCCCACGCAGCCGGACGCTCACGGCCGTGCACGACGCAATCCTGGAGGACACGGCGGCGCGAAGGAGAAGGAGGAGGAGGAGGAGAAGGAGGAACAATAGTATTAATGATAGTGAACTGTAGAGAATGAGAATGATAATAGTGATAAAGATGAGTATAATAGCAAGTAATACTGATACTACTAATCGTAATACTCATTGTAGTAATAATACTACTAACGTTACTTTTACTATTAATAGTATTACTACTAATAATCAGAATACTAAGAATAATAATGATAACAATACGTAGCAGCCCGCAAGTGCGGATAAGAGTGAGGGGGCGGGCGCGACGCGGGCGTCGAGCCGGCGGACCTCGTGGCCCTCACGAATGCAAAAGAAGCCTGGAACGAATGCAAAATAAGCCCGCCGCAGGCGCCGAACATTTTGGGTGGGTCGCAGGGTGGGTCGCGGGTGGGTCGCGGGGTGGGTCGCGGGTGGGTCGCGGGTAGGTCGCGGTGTGGGTCGCGGGTGGGTCGCCGGGGGTGAGTCGCGGGGTGGGTCGCGGTTGGGTCGCCGATGCAAAAGAAACCCGCCGCAGGCGCCGAAGTTTTGGCGTGTTCAGTGAACGTAGTTTGGGTCGCGGGTGGGTCGCGGGCTCTCCACCTCCACCTGGAAGGAATTCAAAAACAGCCCGCCGCAGGCGCCGAACATTTTGATTTGTACACTGAACGCGGTTTGGGTCGCGGGTGGGTCGCAGGTTCTCCACCTGGAACGATCTGGAACGAATGCAAAAGAAACCCGCCGCAGGCGCCGAAAATTTTGGGTGGGTCGCGGGGTGGGTCGCGGGTGGGTCGCGGGTGGTCGCGGGTGGGTCGCGGGTGGCGTCGCGGGTGGGTCGCGCGGGGGGTCGCCGGGGGTGTCTCGGGGTGGGTCGCGGGCGGGTCGCGGGGTGGGTCGGGGGGGTCGCGGGGGGTCGCGTGTCGCGGGGTGGGTCGCGGGTGGGTCGCAGGGTGGGTCGCGGATGGGTCGCGGGTGGGTCGCGGGTGGGTCGCGGGTGGGTCGCGGGGTGGGTCGCCAGTGGGTCGCGGGGTGGGTCGCGGGTGGGTCGCGGGTGGGTCGCGGGTGGGTCGCGGGGTGCGTCGCGGGTGGGTCGCGGGGTGGGTCGCGGGGTGGGTCGCGGGTGGGTCGCGGGGTGCGTCGCGGGTGGGTCGCGGGGCGGGTCGCGGGTGGGACGACGACAACAACAAACAACAAACAACAATCAACAAACAACAACAAGAATCCGCATTGCGGAATTCCACTTCAGCCACGCACCCAGGGACAGTGGATGACCGTTCGGTTCAACCCCCTCACTCTGACTATATAGTATTAGTTATACGGATAAGAATGATAATGCGAAGATGGCGGCGGAGGAGGAGGAGGAGGAAGAGGAGGATGAGGAGGAAGAGGAGGAGGAGGAGGAGGAAGAGGAGGAGGAGGAGGTGGAGGGTCCGTAGCCATTTTGGCTCAAGGCCATATCGGGAACTCAACCCCCCGTCTCAAGTGGCCTGGCCCGCCGCGCGCGAGTGAGACCCTGGAGAGTTGCCCCAGGACAAGGGTCTCCGCATTTCTTCTTATCCCGCGGTGTGACCGCGACACACCCAGTTCCGCAGACGGTACGAACCGTCCCTCTCGTGCCACATCTGTTCTGCGCAAGCAATGGGGAGCGATGGTCATCGTGAAGCGGCAGCCGCCGCGACCCTCGAGGCCTTGGAGGCCATGGCAACGTTCCCGTCGCAGGAGGTCGCCACTCCCCAACGTGCTGGCCCTTCTGCTCATGCTGATGACGATCTACCTGAAGGGCAGCCACCAAACAAGCGAGCAATCTTATCTTCGACACACGGGGTCGCCGACAACAAAGGCGTGGGAAAAGGTCTATCGTCCGCTTCAGGTGCGTCATCGCCCTCTGCGGGCTCGAGCTCTGGTCGTGGCTTTGGAGTGCCCCCACTGCCTGGAGGAGTCTCACAATCCCCCGAGGAGTTGGTTGCGATTCGTGCTCATGTGGACGCAGTTCAGGCAGCACTGCAACAGTCTTTTGCAGCAGTGCAAAACAGTGTGCAGGCTTCCCTCACATCGGTTTCAAATAATATCACTTCATCTTTCCGTGACATCAGCCATGCCATGGAGTCGAGGATCAACCGCGTGGAGAATCGCGCTGATGACCAGGACAAGAGGCTGGACCGCATCGAGCACCAGATCGCTCAACTACGTCAAGAATTGCAAGTGGTCCAGAGCGAAGAGCCTCAACCGCCTCTCCGCCCATTGTCTGGCTCTAACTTCAACAGGGAGGTCGACCGTGCCGTGGTGGTCATTCGCTCTCCCAAGCTGGTCACGAAGTCTAACATGCAGAACGCGCTGGCGGACTGGCTCAAATATTACAACACCAACGAGCAGGAATACACCTTCGACGAACCTGAACCTGCAGGCCTCAGGTTCACGATGCGCTTCGCTGGGGCCAAGAACTATGCCGAGAGGAAGGTCAACCAGGTCTTGGGCGCTCTTAAGACGCCCTCCCCTGGCAACGCTCCGCCGGTATGGAGGTCCTTCCGAGCTGAGTCGATCGCTGATGGCCCGATCAACCTGTGCGTCGGCCCCGACAAGAACACGGAGATGGTGCGCCGTGAGTTGGGATGCAAGAAGATCAAAGGCGTGCTGGTCCGTGAATTTCCGCAGAAGCGCTTCTTCCTGGACAAGCACAAGGGGGAGGTGCTGCTGGGCTGGAAGCCGATCTGCAAGGTGGTCCCCGTGGAGGGCCAAGACATGCCAGGCCTCAGGTGGGCGAAGGAGAACATGCGGGCTGAGGGTATGGATGTGCCGCGCGTCCTGCAGCTCGCCACTGACGTCTTCGGCCCCATCACGGAGACCGTGTGGGGTTCCTAGCACACTCAGTACCCTGTGGCGTGGTCAAGCCAAACAGGACGGTGAGCATCACTTCGAATTGCGAGTGGTCACGTGGAACGCGAGGGCGTTGTTTCACCACGATGACTCACTGAGGGTGCAACAAGTGAAGCTGCTGCGCCGTCTCGTGCTGTCTGGCACGATCGTTGCTTTGCAAGAGACGCACGGAGCCCCGTGCGACGTCAGGGACCTTCTCCACTCCCTCCACCTCCCTCTCCAGGCGCATTGGTCCTTTCAGGATGATTTTCGCGCAGGGGGCGTGATCACCATTTTCCCTCGTTTCTTCCCTAATGAATCCCGCAGGGTCTCGTTGAGCGGCGTCCTCCCTCTCGTCTCCTCCTCTCCTTTGATTCCTGGCCGCGTACTTCAGACTAAGATAGGGGCCACGAATGGGCGGTGCTGGATCCAGCACGTTAACATCCACAACCACGGCCTCTCCGTGGCTGACAAGGCAGTCTTGTTCGGCGCGTTGACCGCCGCGCTCCAGCAGGCCCAGGAGGATCCCCTCAATAGATTGGTTCTCATCGCTGGGGATCTGAACCTCTCATCCCATGAACCCCTGCCCCTTAACCCCCCGAATGGTGACTTCAGTGTGTTTACTGACCCTCGCCCCCGCCCCCTTCCCAGGGACTGGAGTCAAGCCTTCGCCCACACTGTTGAGTTCGAGCTTCTCTCCCCCTCTCACTTCAACAGTCAAAGCTCTTCGTTGAGTTTCCTGGACAGGATCTTCTCCTCGCTGCCTGGCTGGATTCTCTCGCAATATGCTTCTGGGGGGGAAGTCACCGAGCATCCAGAGGTGCTGGACGCGAGAGGTCTACCCGACCACGCGCCTGTCGCTGCCCACACTCGCGTGCGGCCACCAAGGCCAGAAGGGGACAGGCCGATCCCTAAGGAGCTTTTTGCTTCGGCTCCGTACAAGTTCTTCCTGGAGCGTGCCACTCGGGCGGCCTCTTTTGACCACCTCTCTCCCCCCCATCGCTCGCGAGTACTACAAACTCCTGATGACGGAAGCGGCCCGCTTCGCCAGAAACCAGCTCATCCAGAAACGCCCTCACATCCACATCTCTCGATTTTTGGTCGTCCGAGGAATGGCGCGTGCTTTGTTCCGCCAGGACTGGGTCTTTGCTCAGCGCCTTTTTCAATCTCACCCGCTTTGCCGAGAGCACCTCCTCATGGGCCCGAACGCGCTCTCCATCTCCCTCCGCGACCCTCTCCGCTTCACGATCCTCTCCAACGAGCTCCACCTCAAGACTGCCCAGACTACGGAGCGTGCTCTCCAGGCTAGCGCTCAGCGGCTATCGCACCCGTCTGCGATCGCCCGTGTCTCTGCCCGCGCTCGCAGGGTCAATCGGCTCGCGAGGCTGTGGCCCCCGTTCGATCGGAGACTGATGCTGTCGGGCGTGCGCACCAATGGGGGCGAGATTGTACAGACGCCCTCAGCGATCCTTTCGCACCTGGCTCAGCATTGGGCCCCGATCTTTACTGCTAAGGAGTACCGCGACGAGGAGGTTCAAGCTTTTCTGGATAGGTTCCCCCCAAAAATGAGTTGTTCTGATATCCCCCCCAAACGTATCAGCACATCCAGCGATATCTCAGAACTCAAACCCACAGTGCCCAAGGCCCTGACAGACTCCCCTTCTGTGCCTGGCATTTCGCTCCTCGTGGCGCTGATGTTCTCCACAATTCGATGCGCTGGATTCACGCTGGGCAGAGCCTGCTCTTTGGCTATAACGAGGTCAGAGGAGTCTTTATCCCCAAGGGGACTGACCCGCCAGGAGAAGCTGCCGGCACCCGCCGCCCAGCGGAGACGAGACCTCTGGGGCTGAAAAGCTGTGACAACAAAGTGATCACGGGGGTCTCTGTGAAACCTTTGACGGCCTCGACGAGGCCCAGCGCGGGTTCGTTCCCAGCCGAAATTTTGGGCAGAATATCCTGGAGCTCGACGCCATCGGGCGGCGAGCTAGTATGCGCGACGCCCCCTTATCTGCCTTCCCTCCCTCTTCTGTTTTGACTTCGGGCAGGCCTTCCCCTCCATGGCCCAACGTTGGCTGTTCGCGGTCCTGAAACGCATCTCCCTCCCCCCTGCTCTCCTCCACCTCCTCCTTGACCTTTACTCTGGCGTCATCTGCG